CAACCCACAGGTCTCCTCTCCTTTTCCTGATGCCCCTTCCTGGCTGGTGAACGGTTGTAAGGTGATAGAGCAACTGTTAAAATTTAGCCCTGGATACATGCCAAATGTAGACAATGGGCAAAGTAAGAGTTATACTGTAATTTCTACCTCACCCTCCATCATACTTGTCAGGCACTCTTACCTTCTAAGAACTGGTCCAGTGCATGGTTAGTGTAGCAGACTATAAGGATGGGAGACTTCTGGACAGTGCTTTGCCACACATGCTTATTAGTCAAAAGAGCCTGAACAATCTTCAAACCCACATAAGTCTTCCCTGCAAAACAAGCTCAGAATCAGAAAAGGGTAATCGACCCCATATAGAGTGCCTTCAAACACAGGAATCATTAAAACAAGACTTTCTTCTAGGCTGCAAATCTGGTCTGTGGCAACAGAGCTGACCCCAGGCATAACTAGTTTACAAAACGTAAACGAAGTAGCATGACCCTGTCTTTCTGGCCTGTAGTTGTGCCAGGCCATACTCTGCAAGAATGCTGTCTTTTGGTTAATACACTGGACCCAGACCCAGGGTTTCCTCTGCCACTGTATCCCCAGCCCACTCTGATACTGGCTTCATATGTGACATTCAGCTGCATGTGAAACATCCACATACTAGTGGAATGCAAGCGGTAGTGCTTGTTGAGTTGAGGTACTATTTAAAACAATTACAGTTAACCTTGTAATGCTTTATTCATGCAGACAATCATGGCTGAACCCTCCCAACGTTCTAACATACTATGAAGACAAACAGAACTGTTGCACAGCAAGAGGTACCACATTATCAGAGACAGTTGAAAATGTTTTCACCCCAATGCACAAGCAAAGCCAACAGTGCAATTGGTGTCTACTTGCAACTAGGTCAGCAATGGGTAAGATCAGATACAGGTGTCTGAGGATATTTTAACCTTCTCCACAGCTCATGCTAACTGAGCTACTGAAGCATGAATTAGGCATGGGACTAAAGCTTTGGAGACAGTACAGATGGCTTTCTCTGAAGTTAATCTCCCTAAATAGGGGAATCAAGGAGGATTCCTTAAATAAGGGAGACTTAAAGCAAATGTTTCTCACCAGTCCCAGGAGGTCCTTGGATAATAGCCAGCTCCTTGGTGAGTGCAAGACTCAATGCCTGCATCTGAGACTCATCTAATCTCAAGGTTTCCATTGAAAGCCACTGCTTGGGATCTAGTACATGGACATTTTGCCTTCTCAAACCATCAGGGTACGTATCTTCATCTGACGGCGGATCTTCCATCAAGGGTGCAAAGTTGTAGGCAGTATCCATTGTCAGGTATGCTGGCTTCTTTACCTGTGCATCACATTCCACAATGTACTTCTGGAATGGGATATCTTCTTCCTGTATTTCCTGTAACCCTTCTAACACATGTCGATAGGCCTCAAAGTAGGCAGTTGTTTCTACCATGACGAAGGAGTCTGAGGGCTGAACCTCTGCCAGCAACGCCTGGCTCTGTGCGTTAAAACATAGTTGCACAATCCCATGGGCAAGATCTGTATTGTCACGATTAGAAACAGTAGCAAAAAGGCATGTTTCAAAGTGATCTTTAGACATGCAGATCAGGGATCCATATAGCAACCGTTTCGAATTCTGCCATCGTACAAACTTCAATGGTTTTATGTCAAACTGGACCTTGTAAACAATACCAGTTGGGGAACAGAGAGGGGTAATAATCCGTGTGTCAAAGTAGATTCTGATATCATCAAATTTTCTCCTTCTCAAACCTTTGTCCTCAAAGCTCTGTAAAAGCTCCAAGATACCTTCCCTCAAAGGCCTTACAAAATCTTCTCTCAAAAGCCGGAAATGGGTGTCAAGATAAATGCTGGTGCTCTCATACCTTCCAGAAACAATATTGGGACGTAGAAAGGGTTTCTTATGATGGTGTAGCTCATTGTACGTTGGATAAATGGTCATTGTACGATAGGTTTCTTCTTGACCATCAGTCTTAGGTGGCATAAGAGCATAGTTATCAGACCTCAGTGTACCTTCACGTCTCTTCTCCTGCAGATGCTGTACAAGCATCTGGACCTTGTTTAGATTCTTCTCCGTTTCTTCCATGATGTCCACACCAGAAGCTCTCAGGGCATTTATGGATGCTGGCAAGACTGTCAAGAGAATGGAGATTTTCTGCACAGAGCTGGCTGGGAAAATACTGATCAGGTCTTGAAGAAGTGAAATGATATTGCTAATATGCACAGGGTACTGATGACGTACAGCAGGGACTGCCTCTGTTATCATGTCAGACACATACTGTGGCAGACAGATCTTGAGAAAGTTGGACTCCTTCACCACTCCAAGCAGCTGTTGGACACTCTGTCTATCCATTCGGGAACTGCATGCTTTTCGAAGCACCTGGCAAATGAGCTGAAGGAAATTAGGTTTCATAGCCATTTGGGAAAGAAGTTCCTTCAAACCTGAACTGGAAGCAAGTGTGATGGCAACTTCTGAAGGGTCCTTCTGGAGTAGACTTTCTAGGAATTTATAGCCAATCCTTTTGACTTGCTGAGGCTGCTGACTGAGCCGGGCACCACCTGGGGTAGGGTCCTGGTAGAAATGACGATTCTCCCAAGACTGCATCCTCCTCTCCCTACCTTCATTTTCTTGCTCATTCCAGGGTCCTCTGGCCCTCTCATGTGTTTGTCCACCTTGATACCTCCTTCCCCTACCCTCATTTTCTTGCTCATGCCAGGGTCCTCTGGCCCTCTCATGTGTTTGTCCACCTTGATACCTCCTTCCCCTACCCTCATTTTCTTGCTCATGCCAGGGTCCTCTGGCCCTCTCATGTCCTCGTCCACCTTGATGCCTCATTCTCCTTCCCTCATTCTCCTGCTCATTCCAGGGTCCTGTGGCTCCACTGTTGGCCTCTCCACCTTGGTTTCTTGATTTATTTTTGTTCGATTGAGGAACCCTCCAAATCCAACCACCAGATCTCTCCTCTCTTTGCCCAGGTAAAAGAGTATAATTACTGGCTTGAGGTCTTTCCCCTAACTGAGCTGCCTGGTCTGACACATTATTTGTTCTGTTTCTGCCTCTTCGTATAAAGCCAGTATTCCAATGATCTGCATTAAAAAAAAAAAACAAACACAAACACCACACCTTAATTATAAATCAACCACGTTAACCTGGCTCTCAACACAAATACATGTGCATTTTAGCCTGATAGTCAGCATATTTCAGACATTTAGCATCAAGTTAGAAAACTACCATTATATTTGCACCCAGACTTTCAAACAGGTGTTTCCTTTATACCCCTTTTTTAACTGCTAAAAAGGGTGCCATGCCTAGAGTTCACTTAAGCTGTTTAAGCCATGAAGACACTAAAAAACTAAATCTTTTTCCACAGAACAGAAAGCAGAATTAAGACACGCTAAAGATGAAGTTTCCTGCACAGGACAGGATTTCCTCAGGAGTTAGTCATCACTGAAATAACAGCAGCAGCAGCTGACTTTGACTGCATATAACACAGCTAAAACACAGACCTTCTGGACAAAGTTCAGCCTCTCAGAGCAGCAACAAGCATAGACCATATAGAGTCATGCTCTCACCAGAATACTTAAGGAAGCCCTGAATACTAGCACAAACAATTAGCAAAGAGATCGCTGCAATGCGTCATCACCTCATGGCCCCAACCAGACTCCAAGAACAAATAAAGAAATGCTGCAATTTAGGCTTGGGGAAATTTCACTACACGCAGGCAGGGAAGGAGTGGACCCTCCCTGCGCCAGCACCGCCTCCCAGGCCTTCCGCAGCCTCCTGCCCGGCATTCACGGGTGAACCTCACCTCTCCCTCTAGCTCGGGGCTGCCGGGAGCAAGGCTCCTGCCCGGCGTCCTCCATCGCTCGGCCCAGGGACTCCTCTGCGGGGTGTCGCAGCTCTCCGGGGCAAGGGCACGGCTCAGCACCGCTGCTGCACCGCTCCTGCACCCCAACACAAGCCCCGCCGTGCTCGTCGCTGCTGCGCTCCCCACACGGCCGGGAAGGCACCGGTGGGAGTTTCGCTTTCCAGTTCCCCGCAAGGCCCGCCCCGGTGGGCAGCGCCCCACGCCCTCCCCTGGTACCGGTCGCCACTGCCGGGCAGCCCCTCCCCCTTCCC